TTTGAAACTATATGGACTACAATAACCGAAGGCCTAAAAGAAATGAAAAAACAAAAATCTGCTATTGACAAAATCAGCATCATAGTTAATATCATTGATAAAGTCTGCAGTTACACTTAATATGCCTAAAAACGTCAATACGAGAAGCTTTAAAATTATTTCCTGGAATGCAAATGGCTTAAATAACAAAAAAGATGAATTGGGTGATCTTATTCTTGAATTAGAACCGGATGTTCTGTTAACACAAGAGACTCACTTACAACCTGCAAACAAAGTACTTTTTGCAAATTATGCTACTTTCAGATCTGATAGAACTACAGGGCGAGGAAGTGGAATTATTACCTTCGTTAAAAGGAGTATACAGCATCAAGATAAACAAAAATAATCTACTTCTTTTGAGAGTAATTCTATTGAAATTGAAATTGAATTTAACAAATTCATAATCTCCAATATTTATATTCCACCGAATCATAGACCAATTATGGCTGAAATTGAACATCTTTTGGGCTCTAATTATCCCTCTCTTGTAGGTGGTGATTTTATTGCGAAACATCAATGTTGGAATCCTGGTGCAAGCAATAGAAAAGATACTGAAATTTTCAATTTGATCCAAGATAAAAATTATGTTATACATGCTCCTGATGAACCAACACATTTTGGTTACCATAGCTCCTCCATCATTGACTTTTTTCTTTCAAATAACCTCAGTTACAATAGTCAAATTTCCGTTATTCCTGCTTTATCTTCTGATCATAATCCTATCTTGCTTGAAATTAATATCAACTGCTTCCTTCCTGCATTAGGTCGCAGCATTGGAATTACCAATTGGAATAAATATTCTCAAATTAGGACTGAAACTATACCAGAAAATCCTTGCATTAGCAGTAAAGAAGCCTTAGACACGGAAATTCAAAATTTTACCAACAGTGTTGAACAAGCTTTAAGTTCTGCTACCAATAAATTCATCAGTAAGCATCATTTTCTTCCTCTTCCGAATAACATCAGGCCAAATATTAAATATAAAAATCGCATCCAGAAATTATGGCAATATACTAGAGACCCAAGAATTAAAGCTAATCTAAACGCTCTTCCAAGGACCATTAAAAAAGATATCAGGGAATTGAAATCTCAGCGGTGGAGCAACTTCTTAAACACTCTTGCTACTGAAGACAATTCCCTCTATGACATTGCTCGTAAATTCAAAAAGCCTTTCAAGCAGACTCCTCCACTTCATGGTTGCAATGAACTTGTTTATTCTGATGAAGATAAAGTCAATACTTTCGCTGACATTCTTGAAGATACCTTTACTCCCAATGCTTCCCCATATGATAATGATCATATCACCAAAGTTAGTAGCACAGTATCTTCTTTCCTTAATAGCCCTGAACCACTTAATTTCACCTTTCTCGCTTCCCCGAGAATTGTTGCGGATTTTATTAGCTCTTTAAAAGCTTAAAAAGCTGCTGGATGTGATGCCATTTCTTCCAAAGCACTCAAGCATCTTCCAATTAATGCAATTACGTGCTTAACTAAAATAATTAACTCAGCTATAAAGCTCTCTTACTTCCCCAAAACATGGAAACATGCAGTTGTTGTCTTCCTTAAGCCTCAACAAACTTTTACTTTTCCTCAAAATTATCGGTCTATCAGTTTACTTAGTCAAATTTCTAAAATTGCTGAAAAAATTATTCTGTTTTATATTAATCGAATCATGCCTACTAGCTCTTATACTCCTGATGAACAATTTGGATTCAGACATCTGCACAGCACCAATCATCAGCTTTTCCGCATTATCAATTACATTACTGTTGGATTCAATTATAAATTTCCTACCGGCGCAATTTTCTTAGATATTGCCAAATCCTTTGACAGATTGTGGCACCAAGGACTTATATTCAAAATAATTCAGCTCAATTTTCCGAACCACTTTATTCAACTCATTGTCTCTTACCTCAGAAATCGCACTTTCGCTGTCAAAATTGGAAACGCCCTCTCAACTACAAGAAATATTACTGCAGGTGTCCCTCAAGGCTCCGTTCTCTCTCCTTTTCTTTACAATATTTATACTCAAGACATTCCATAAGAATCTCATATTACTATCGCCTTATTTGCCGACGATACCGCCATCCTAACTCAAGCTTCAACCATCAATACTATACAAATTTTTCTACAAACCTATTTGGAGCTTTCTGAAAACTGGACGACGCTGTGGAGAATTGCCGTTAACACTAACAAAACCAAAGCCATTATTTTCAGAAAAAGAGAAACAAACTTCCTCTCGCTTAATCTCATCTTCTTTGACGACGATATTCAGTGGACGGATCAAGTGATGTATCTCGGAGTCACACTCGACAAAAACTCCCTTTTCGGCAACATTTACACGAAACTGCCAGGAAATTCAATATCTCAATAGCTACTATGCGTCCTCTCCTCGGCAGACATAACAATATGACTATCAACAATAAACTTGTTTTATACAAGTCTATCCTTAGACCTACTTTACTTTACGCCAGTCCGGTATGGGGACGCGCCGCTAAAACCCATATAAAAAAATCCAAGTTATTCAAAATAGAACACTTCGTGAAATTATTAATGCACCTTGATTCATCCCAAATTCATAGAATCACAGAGATCTTCAAATTGATACTATACAAAATTATATAAAAAAAACTTGCAACATTTTTTTCCTTTCTGTACTATTACATCCAAACAGCTGTATCAGTTCTTTGCAATGCTCACCTTTTCCTAGAGAAAAACACAAATATCCTTCGGATATTCTTACCTAACATTTTGTTAATTATTTGAAGTACTTACTACCTTACTGATCCAACTTTTTTTCACATTGCTTGTATATTTTCATTCATTACATCTTTCTTCGCCGACTGATGGCGGCTAAGTGAAATATCCCATTCTACCATCTCGATTTTTCTTATCATCCTTTTGTTGTTCCAGACATTCTTTTATCTGATGCAGTGTAAAAGCGCGCTGTCACTCTCTTTCCATTCGACACAAGTCGATTCCGTTGATTAAGGGAAACCATATTTTTTGTTTCGGCTTTGCATTTTATATTCATCCCACTGCCTACACTTCCTGCAGTTCAAAGAGGCAAAAACGTTTCAAGCAACAAATTTTCCGCAACCTCTGGAAATAAGCGCGTTGCGATATTCTAAAAAAATGTTGTATAAATTTGAATTTAATTTGCATGCAAGAGATTGGCAAACTTAAATTCCATGTAGGAGTTTGTAGGTAAGAAAGGAATATATTAATTGCAGATCTAGCTATATTAAAAATATGCTTCATCTTGTTTATAACTTGTGCATGCTGAAAAAATTTAACTGTCATTTTGTTCTTTTATTTGGATATTTTTCTGAAGTGCTCCATAAGACAGTAACACTGAGCGAAGGGAAACGAGCTTAATAGAAACAAATGAAATCTGAATATAGAAAATAAAGGTGAAAAAATTCTAATTAAAATTATTAAAAAAATCACATTTGTTTGCGAAAAAGCTGATCTCATTAACTGCATTAAAATGATTTGTTAAAAAATAAGGTGATGAAGCAATCTTTATGCCTTATTTATCAATTTAAATTCACATGTTATTAAAAGTGAGAAATTCTACCTCCTGTCGTATTTGTTGCCTATCTAGTTTTTTCATTTTACTTTTCTAAAATCTAACTTTTTCAGATTAAAAGAAATTATTTTAAATAAAATTCAATTATTATTTTCGTTTAAGGAGGACAAATCACACAGAGAAAGATCATCAATCACTTCCTAACTATAAAACTGTTGTTGGCTCTTGCGCTTAACTAATGCGCAATGCAACTTCGGAAAGTATAAATTCGAGCGTCTGACTTTCCTCTCTCATTTCGTGCAGCGAGTTAGACTTAAGATATCAAGACGTGAAAGAAATGGTTTTGAGGAAGATAAAACTGAGAATTATTGCACTGTCAGTTTATTTATTACAGTTTGTTGCATAAGCTTTTGAATATACCTAAATAAACGGTTTTGCATACACTGTACACTGTCGGAAGGAAAAGGTATGGTGGTGTACTTAATTATGGCAAAGCACACTAGGGCTATCTTGCCTAAGGGGAGGGATGCCTTCGTGGAGGACTTTCTAAGTTAAACTGACTCATATACACGTTACACATGGGGAAAACCACGAAATCACCCATGCAGCCAGCCCGTTCGCGGGATTCGAAACTCGGACCGAACTACCAGTGTTCAGCGACTTTACCGCTCGGCCGCTGTTGGGCAGGAAAAGGTATGATTCAACAATCAAAATATGCGAACGGAACCTAAATAAATAGAGAATCAATAACCTGTCAAAGTCTACAGAGGAACATGGCATTTAATGGGCGTAATACTGTTCAAAAACTAACACGTATGCGAGCATTACTGAAATATTTATGTTAACATGAACTATTCTCAGAGTACTTCGTTCTACATATTTCCATTATTTTGCCGCTCGTAAGGCCACATATATTGACTAGCGTGTACACTTTCAGCTCACCGAATTTGAGGTAGTAGTATTTTCTGTATGGGGTTGTTTTGTGCATTGTGCACATCTGCTTACAGGTTGTGATGAATACGTGTATGTCAGTTAGGAATCCTAGACATCCTCGAGATAGCTATCTAATTCTGGGGCAATATTATAGAGATGAAACTTAATATCATGAGCATTGCCCTTAATCACAAAGCAACCTCAGTTACGCAATAGTTTGAAGATAACCTCGTATCCGACTGGCCGTTTCGAGCCTTAACTTCAGTCATATAGAGCGTCTATGAGATGAGGTAAACAGTAGAATAAGAAGCTCTGAATCTAGGCCAATTGCCCAGAAATAGAACTGACTTTACAGTTAAAGTTAAAAGCTTTCTAGTATCTTGTTCTCAAAATCTTGAAAGTATGCATTTGAAAACTTTGCATTTTAAAAGACTAAAGGCCGACTTATGCCCGTACAGTATATTTTCATCATGTTTAAGAAACAAGAAAAATATGCCTGAAATCTGCTCCCTTTCGGCGATAGAGTTTCTCTCATTGACATTGACATCCTCATCTCAGCTTTCAGTTTCTGTTTCCCGAATGCGACGGCTCCACTCGTGACTATCAGCATTTCCTTGCCATGATTTTGAAGCTGAGATACCTTTAAAAGACCAAAATACAAACATTCAGAATTCCAGTATTTATTTCTACTTAAAAAGTAACATAGTGAGTTACATATAGGGGTAACATACCACATTAATATTAAAAGCAAGGAATTTTGTTCATTTTATTTGACTACAGCAAATTTCAGAATGCAGATTTGTGTTTTTATAACTCTAAAAAAAAGAAATGAATAACATATTTTTTAAGACACATTGTTTTAAAATTAGTAAGAAATCAACATTTTTTAATTTAACCCTCCTACTGATTACTGACTTCTGTTTGCATAAATAAGGCAATTTTAAAGAGCATGTTTTTCATTTCTCAAGCATAAATTAAATTACATCTACCCCATTTATCGAAAAGACAATCCAAAAAATTATCGTAACGCACTTAAACCTCACTTTTTAAATAACTTAAAGCATTAAGCTGCATAAAGTTTAAAAAATTATGTTCGCATTATGCTACCTTTTATATACGACAGAAAAAATATTATTTATATTTTGAATATTTTTCCAATTTACATTTCAGTTCTTACTCCGAGTAAAATTAAAATATCACAGAAATATAAACCTAATTTGCGTATATCGATGGAAATATCAACTTTTTTAAAATAAAATAAAAAACAATATTCCTTGAAAAATGTAAGAACAAATTACTTAGCGTAAGCGTAATATATGTAGAAATTTCTATGGTCAATAGTTAAGAGTATCTATACTACATACTATACCATGCAGATGCAATGTGTCAGTATTCACCAGACAGAATTTAATTTTTTTACCTCTCCAACGATTACTGAACAGAATATTACACTTCATTAAAATTTAAATAAACTAAGAAGAAATTTAAATGACTACTATCTATATATTGCTGCTGAATTTTATTATAATTACTAATTAGGATCTATGTTTCATACAGAATTATCGCATCACAATAAAATGCAACAAAAATATTCCTTCAAAAATTTTCGATACAGACCTTTTTTTCCTCCGCAACATTCAAAATTTCGCGATCGCAGTTTTACTCGAAAGACTCATTCGACTTAATCTTGCTCCAGTAAAACATTTCACGTTTTAATAGTTATTATTTTTTTAGTGGAGCATACATACAGAATGAATAAAACCTTTTAATATAACATCTATTCGCTTCGAGTATATTATACTACGCAGTATCCACTATCATTTCATCAACGCCTATTTGCTTTTGTTATATTAAAAAACTCAACTGAGGAACACTCACTCTGTGTTCCTCAATTGTTATCGAACATCGTCTATAACCACTTTACAACTAACTGGGGATTTTAAGTTAATACTCTGAAGTTGTTAAAAAGAGTCAAATCTTCTCGTACAACCATATGCTGCAACATTCTTCTAAATGAAAGAATTGCTGCTAGAGAGTTGAAATGCTTTTAGGACAGTAGGTCAGTTTCTAAAATTGGTTATGAACTTTTTCACTTTAGATTTCACTGTCAATTTGAGCAGAATCTTTCATCAAGAATGTTAAATGATTCTAACAACATTTTAAACTGAGTTCTAGTTGTTCGACATGAGGGACCGAAGTTAGAGGCACTGCAACCGGTGCGTTTGCGCATGTGGTAAATTTTTTTTTTAATTTACAGGAAACCAAGCAACAAATTTTTTAGACATTAAAAGAGGCAATATCCAGCAGAAGTTATGGGCAAGAAAATTATTAGAATTTATAAAAACCCCAGACAGCAGAATTTATGACCTCCAGAAACTGCACCGGTCGGCACAATGCATAGCAGCGACCCTCTCGACATGTTACCAAAAGAAAGAGGCACGAGTTAAAAGAATAACAGCTCAAAAAGTCATAATTTATTAAAACACAAGCGTCTTCACACTACAAAGCGTGTTCCCAATTTCTTTCATTAGAAGCAAAAAGAATTTAAACACCATTCTAAAAGACATTGGCAATGAATTTACCAAGGAAATTCAGTTTCCTTTAAATGTCAACAAGTTGCTGTGTTAAACATTTAAAGATGTGTACATTTTGTTTTTGTTCATGCCAAAAACAAAATTAGATTTTTTAAGTTTGTAGGGTTTATATTTATTTTAACTAACATTTATTTTAAGTTTAAACTATCTTTCCTGTCAAGCCTTACTTTCCCCTGGAACTGCCAATGCCAGAATATGTAAATTTGAGTAGAACGCGCAAGCATTTTATCAGCGGAAGTATTATGATTTAAATAGAGAGGAAACAAGTTCGGTGTGAGATTCTTACTTAGCGAGCGCGGAGGTAGTTAGCGAGAATTGAAGAACCCCGCGTTGCGGCCTATGTGCTTGGCGGGAAGTAGTGGTAATCGTTCCAGTGAGCTTCAAGTCTGCTGAATTAGCAGCGGTATTGTGAAACGCGGTGAGTTAGTTATTTTAGAGAGCCTCGTAGTTAGAATATTGTCTTTACTTTCTTTTCAGGTTCTTATTTTTATTTGACTGCCAAGTTGGCACAGTCTGTGAGCGTCAAGAGCACGCAATTGTAATTTATTACGTTGAATAAAAAGGGACTTAAACCCTTCACAAGGCTCTATCTTTTATACAAGTTTTCACAGTCACCTCTTGGTTGCGTGCAAGTTGGAGGCGCGCAACGTTATATTGGCGCCCGAACAATTATCGAACTGAAATGGCCGAAAACTGGATGGAAGCCGCTGGACAACACCAAGAAATGACAACTCAGAAGGATTTGGATACCTGGTCCAGACTTTGAGAGCATCAATCAAGCCAAACGTCCATTTCGACGGAAAAAATTCCGTGGCGGTATTTCTCGAATGTCTAGAAAACCACTTTCAGCTCTACCCTGTGCCTGAAAGACAAAAAGTTGCCATCGCCACATCAGCACTAAGAGGACAGGCCGCGCTATGGTGGAAAAACATAGGAAAATTTCTACTAGGTGAATTTGGAAGCCCGACATATATATTTGACAATTTCAAAAAATCGTTAGTAAAGGCCTTCCCCATAGTGAAAGATCGCGCACGGCTGGAAGCCGAACTATATAGTTTCTATCAACGGGATACAGCACAATTGACGGACTTTATTTTACGAAAAATCAAGCTAACGGATATGCTGTATGGAAAAAAAACCCGATGCGGAGATAATTGAAATAATATTACCAAGATTGTTACCCGCTGTCCAAGACTACTTTGAAATTAGAAACCCAAGCACATTCCAGGAACTTTTCGAATTGGCGGTGAAGTTTCAAAATCGCAGAATAGCGGAAAAAGCGAGAGGGGAAACATATTCTCAAAGTACCCGAAGGAAGCAGGAAACCAAAAATGGAAATCGCTCGTATGGGGGAAAGAACTATCAAGCTAACTCATCGAAACTCGAAGGTCAAGGCCCAAAAAGAAAATTTGAAAATAAGCATCCGCGTACCCAGAAGACACAGATTGAAAGGAAAGCTTTAAACGACTAGAGGGGCCTGTGAAAGGGAGGGTCCAGACCCCGGAAGTTTTAAAAAAAACCCTCAAATAGACATTTAAACACGGTCATCGTAAAAAACTCACAGCTACCAATTATACATGTCCTGGTTGGCGATGTACCAGTAGAAGCCCTCATCGATACAGGAGCAGAAGGAAATTTTATGAGTGAAAAGTTCTTCAAAAAGAATTTTAATAGGATTACGACTTATTTAAAACCAGAAAACACGGAAATTATAGCAGCGCAAGGAAAAACATGTCACTGCATCGGGAAATTATCATTAAAAAACTTACAGGTAAAAGAGGAAAAAATCTCAAAGTATTAATTTTTGTCGTGAAAGACCTGCAACACTCTCTTATTTAGGTATGGACTTTCTAAGGGCCGCGAGGGCCAAATTAAATTTTCAAGATAGTTCCGTGGTGTTGGAGATGGACCAGAGGGTGTGGAACCTGTGGAGACACCTGAAGTGGACCTTAGCCATCTGAATGACAGAAAAGTAAAGCAATACAGCAAGTGGTGAGTACTTTTTCTCAACTTATTTTCAGAAAAACCAGGCTTGGTAACTGTCAAATCGTGACGCACAAGATATACAACTAACTGCCGAATCAAAACCTTGTAAGAACTAAACCTTACCGCTATGACAAAGCATTAAAAGACGTAATCATCGAGGAACCTATTCAGGAGATGTTAAAAATAAAATAATAACGCCCATAAATAGTGAGTACGCGAGTCCAGTCGTACTATGTAGGAAAAAGAACGGAGTTTCCCTCCTTCGGATAAAAGGGCTTGGAGGTTTGCTATCGATTTACAGAAAACTAAATAGTATTACAAAAAATTTCCAGGTTTACCCTTTGCCGGTTATAGACGAGATCATTAGACAGATCAAATCGACAAAATATATGTCTACTTTGGACTTAACGTCTGGCTACTATCAAATAGCTATGAGACCCGAAGATATACATAAAACCGCGTTTATAACAAAATGGGGCACTTATGCATTTTTACGCATGCCTTTTGGGTTGTGTGGGGCCCCATCAACATTCCAGAGATCTATGGACATTGTTCTAAAGCCTGTCCTAGGAAAATCAACTTTAATTTATCTAGATGATATAATTATAACGAGTAGTACGTTGGAACAACACATTAATGACCTCGAACAAGTTTTTAAATTATTAAAAGAGGCCGGTCTTACAATTAACGCCTCAAAATGCAAGTTCGCAACTAAAGAACTTAAATATCTCGGTTATAAAATTTCGCAAAAGGGTATAGAAACGCAAGATTCAAAAATAAAAGCTATTGAGAATTTCCCACCGCCCAACACCGCCAGGAAACTTTCATCTTCCTTGGATTATGTTCTTACTATCGATCTTTCATAAAAAGATTTCGCTAATATGTTGAACCACTCTTAGTAATCAAAAGAAAAAAGAGTAAATTTACGTGGACAGCGGAAGCTAACACAGCTTTGAAAGATTAAAAGAAGCGCTTATTAATGCCTCTGTTTTAAAATTCCCTGAGGGGGACGAAAACCTGGAAATTGCGGCAGATGCGTCAGACTATGCGGTGGGTGCGG